CAAGTGAACCGATGAGAGAAAGCCGGGTACCGGTTGATTATTCAAGTATACAAAAGAGGGTGGGCGCGGTGAAGCCGTGGAGCCACGCCGGCCCGATGAAGCTGGACCCTGTCACATAGGGAGCTCGCCGGCATGAGCGAGGGAGCCGACTGGTATCGTGCTTGTGACGACCACTTTTTGAAGGTATGGGTGCTAATGCACTAAAACTCATAAAAATAAGTCCCCTGTTTTTGAGGGCATGCCCTGTGTGTGTATCGACACATCACAGGCACGCTCGACTCTCGCTAGATTTTCCTCTTCTCTAACGATTTTTCCCAGTCCAAACTATCCCGAAGTTGAGTTACGAAATTATGTAGCAGGCATCGCCCATTTTGAGTGCAGCCCGCACTCAAAGGGTAAACATTTCGTAAGCTGGAACCTTCCCCTTGTTTTTCTTCGTCTTCAGCGTTTGTCCCGCTCTGGAGAGGGGTCCGCTCTTCTGGCACGCTACTTCTCCCGACTGTATGCCTGGTCGGGATGAGTGCCAACGATTTTCAAGTCTTCATGCAATGTGTGTAGCCAGCGCTGCTTGGAGCGTCCATTTTTCTGGGCACTTCGAGCTCGAGTGAAGTTTTACGGACGGTGTCAGTGTTCGCGCGCAAAACATGACCGTATCATCGCAAGCGAGATCCCCGCACGTTCTCGGCTACGGGAGCTACACCGAGTCTCTTGCGTATGTCGTCATTTCGAACGCGGTCAATAGGTGTGAGGCCAACCGTCAAGTGCAGCATTTTCATCTCCATAACTCCGAAGCGCGCCTCAACTTCTTTGGTCGTAGGCCAGCATTCAGCGCCGTATATCGCGACTGGTCGAACGACGGTTCTATAGATCTTCGCACTGAGGCACTCTGGTGTGGTTTTGTCACGAAGAATGCCAGTCATAGAGTGCCACTTAGACCAGGCTACACTCCGAGCTCACTTCCGAGTCCAGATTGCCATCAGACGTATTTTGATCCAACATACTTGAAAGCTGTTGTGGCGACAGCTCATTGCGCGACTCTGAGGGAACATTCGCTCCTGTCGGTCGTCAACTACTTGGCCTTCTCAGCGATCAATCTGAGTCCGACGTTGGCCAAGCGCTCAGACCAGATTTGCACCTTTTGCTCGAAATCATTATTATCGTCGCAGGAGAGCATCATCTCGTCAGCCGGTGGGATTCCCCCATCACAGAAAGGGAATCCCACCGGCTGACGAGCGTTCGCGTTCAGAGCCGTTTCTAAAGGTTTCGTGAGATGGCATTCATGACAACAACGAAGAGGTGTGGGGAAGGCTCACAACCCTGGTGCACCCCCACTGTGATGGGGGAATCCCATCAAAACTCCTGCTGATGTTTCATGTGACTTGTCGGGCTGGAATACAGGATGCGCATCCACTCCATTGCTGTCGTAAGGCGTACCATATAAGTTTACGCGGAGGACGATCGAATTCTTTCTCCGAGTCAATGAAGTATATGGGCATGCTCCTGCATATCACGATGTCTTTCCAGCAATAGACGCGCAGCTTGTATGACGTCGTTGGTTCCACAACCGGTCACGAAGCCACATGGATAGAGAACTGGACGACATCACGGATACGACTGTCAAGAATGCGCTTGAAAACGCTGTACAAGAGCAGACGAAATGGACGATAATTTGAGCAGTCTCCCGGGCTGCTCTGTTTCTTCCAGATGAGAACCATTGGGCTCCCTTGCCGCCTTCCGGAGATCTTCTTCTCTGCGACCACCTGGTTGAAGAACTCCGTCAATCATTCAGCAGAATACCGTGTTCCAGCCGCCACGTTGTCAGGGCCTGTTGCCTTGTCTGGCCTCATCTTTTTGAGAGCCGCTTCTAATTCCTTTATGGTCATCTTTCGAACGGTACCATGTATTGGTGAGGCAAGAGGTGAGTCGAAATCAAACTCGAAGCCAAAATATTACTTTTTTTATCTATTTCCCCCTTCGTTTTATATGAATAAAATCTTAGGCACTTCTAATGGGATGACCTAATATCAACTACTTGCTAACGTTACCCCACTTTTCCTCATCTACAGGCCGCTCTAGAACAGAATTTTGAAACTTTGTTTGCGGCAAAATCAACTTTCGGTGAATCGCTCAATGCGAGCACGGCTGAACGTATGTGGCATGTATACATTATAACCCATGCCCTTCCCATCCGAAACTTGGCCCGACCCCTTCGTATTGCTCTTCAGAAATTATATAGAATCGAACTTTCCTACCAACAAAGAAAGGCAGAAAACCACCATCACAAACAGAACACAAACAAGTAGAAATTATATATGTAATGGCATAGTTGATTGACTCTGCAACTGCTTATCCAAAAAATGATCAGTTAGAACAGCTACATAACCAGAACCATTGCAAGAATTACTTGGTCGAAAGATCGATAAGCGTCATCAAGCCGTCGTAGGGCGAAGGCCAAGCGATCAAAGCATGCTGTGCAGAGGATGCCTGTCTCATGAACGCAATCACCTCCGCTCACACCGCCAAGAAGACGACTTGACCATGTGTCGCTTGTCGAACCGGCGGAAAAGACCTGCGCAATATGTATATATGTCTACAAGAATTTTTATAAAAACCAGATAAAGCATACCGAATGTAAGGAAATTGGCTGAAGGTCTGCAAAGATGAAAGTGGCACGGAAAAGCTGAACCCGATGTTCTGGTGAAAGGGCACACATTTCCAACGACGTATGATTCGACCACACGAAGCACTGCGCACCTCTATCATGCGCCTAAAACAGCAACTAAGATAAATGGAAACAAGGGAGAAAATAAAACACTTGAAAAGTCTGGCAGCTGACCCATTCAGTTGCACTTAGTTGATGATACCAAGACGCTGCTCTTAACCATCTGAACAAACTGCAAGCGTGTTCTTGTGTCTTCGAGTGCGTATTCGAGCGTGCATGCGTGTTTACGTGTGTGTCTTGGTTTGCGTGTAAAAGAATGTTTTCATTTGCATTCATATTATTTATTTACTTATTTATTTTCATACACTCAAGGTGTGCACACAAAAATATCTAAAAATAAACCGTGAAAAGGACTATGGCGAAAACTGCAAATGGGCTTGATGCATTAACACAAAAATGAACTTGACATCTCATATAATAAGTCGAAGAGTTTTGACCAGATCGGGTGCTAAGTAATCCTTTTCTTGACGCAGTGATAAGTCAAAAGTTTTGATTTGCGCAATAGCAGGTATCTGAACCAGTTAACCTAAAGAAGCCAGAGGCATTAATTTGTTTTTTGCTTTTTTACTTATTCATGCTTTGCAAACTCCTTTCTTTACAAGGCCGGGAACGCTTCCTTGTTGCAAAAAGGGTAGAGAAATGTCAGGGAGATATTGAACGCCATCGTTACTGCAACCGAAAACCACATGTCCTATTTCTGTGCAGCAAAGGAAGTCCTGAGGAACTGACACAGACATAAAACAGTCGACATCACATATTTGATCCTTCATTTGGACCGTGAATTGTATGTTTAGTTACGATTCCCTCGTTCCAATGCTACATATAGGCGCACAACGATACTGTACCCTTTGTCTGGATGCCTCATGCATAAGGCTCCCAGCAAAGGTAGTAGGAGCTGGAGCGCAGCTTCTACGTAATGTCTGTCCACGCGAGTAAATGTGCTGGAGGGGCTCAATAAAGTTATACAAACTGGCCGCGGACCTGTTGAAGTTGTCCTGCTCAGTCATCTACGTACTTATGAGCTTATGTCAACTTATTAATTGTTAGTTGATCATTTTGATCTTTTTTTTGTGGTGCTGCTGTTACCTTTGCGCTGTTTGGTGTTGGTTGCCCCTCTCATTACGACGCCCCTCCATCTCGACGACCAAGTACGACCTTCCCAAATAAGGGAAGAATCCCCAACGATGGTGTGCCCTGATGCCGAAGTCAGCGCGCGATACACGCTCCACGCGGACGGGTCAGGAAACAGATGCAACCTCGAAGAAATGGCTATTTTCTGTCGCTTATAGCGCAGTCTGCTACCCCCTACCGTCTCACGGGCGCGATCGCCGCTTGCACTCTCAAGTCCGGTCCATACAGCGTACATGGTTGCAAGATTCCTCACGGGGGGGGGGGGCGGTCGTAGTTGACTGGTGAAGGGGGGAGGTCGTAATGAGAGGGACAGCCGATACGGAACAGCGCAAATATGTCGGCTTCGCTAAACCATAAATGGCGAAACTTACTTCGTAGAGAACCCGGGTGTAAGGATAAAAGGATAAAGGATAAAGTCTTCGCCGTTGATCAATCCCTTTGTGGGATGCGGCACGCATTCTACTTCCATTCAGAATCGTAGTGGCTTATTGAATGCGATGTGGCCTATACAATGACTTGCGGGGGCCAGCCGATGTACAAGTCAGTGTTCTTATCCTCCCAGACGAATCTGGTACCAATTTACCGTCCCCGGAGGGTAGAAGGCTTGGTTGGCCTGGGCGGGAGTCGACCCGGGATTGAGCCCAGGACCGCGGGACCGTACTTAATAGTCCGTATCAGTCGTTTTCACCTGTTATTGTCTCTTAGCCGCTCACATGGCTGAGAGCGAATGTTAAGCGACGTGCCCAAGGCAGCATCGCGAACACGCCTCATCATCCGCAGCGAACCGGACTGCAACTCAAGTACGTGCATGACGAATCAGTATAATCTAAGCAACACTACCTCTGGGAGCCTAATGCATGAGATGCAGACATGAACTATTAGGTTGGCTAATAAGTAATGGCCGTTTTTTTCAATTGAAAAATTTGTTCGAAAAGTGAAACGTTTTGCAAGCAAGTTATATATCATCTGATAGGAAACTTCTCGTAGTATAAGAATATCAAAAAAGCTTTGGTTGAGGATACAGTTTTTGTGAATTTTTTAGTCG